AGGGAGGCTGGGGATTGCCATTGCTGCTCTCTCCGAGGTGCGGCGGCCTGGTAGTGGTGAGACCAGTAGTGGGGGTTATACCTACTACTAGTCTGGCTGTAGCAATGGTGCGCGCCTTAGGGAGAGTCGCGGTGGCTGTCTCCGACCGCTTCCGTTCCTCAGTCAAGAAGGTTAACCCTGTTGACGAGCGCATTCTGCTTGTGAGAATGAAGCACACTCTGGGCTTCATATCTCTAGTGGCAGTTTACGCTCTTACTGAGGAAAGTGGGCTTGAAGAGAAAGAGATGTTCTACGCCAAACTTGACTCTGTAGTGGATCAATGTCCCCGGGCTATGCATCAATCCCTATAGCTCTGGTACTAGGAACATCAATAGCTCATACCTCTTAGACTTCGCAAGATCTAGGAGGTTGAGGATTGCGGGCTCGTGGTACCAGAGACGAGATCTACACCGCTGGACTTGGTACACCAATACTGGCGTTGTAGCTAAAGAGATCGACCATATCCTCGTGGATACTCGTTGGAGGATCCTTCAGAACTGTAGAGTTTTTAGGAGTGCTGAGTTCTTTGTTACCGACCACAGGCTTGCTGTCGCAACACTAAGGCTCCGCCTCAGATCTAGTCGCATCCCAAGATCTCAACAGTAGGTGTTCCATCTCGAGAGGCTCAAGAGTGAGGAGGTGGCTCAGGAGTATGCAGTGGCAGTCTTAAATCGGTTTGAAATGCTTGGTACTCTACAGGACCATGCTGAACTGTGGGATACCTTTAAGCGAGGAACTCTGTCAGCTGCCGAGGAGTGACTTGGGGTCCGACCTCGGCGAAGAAGGCGTGTTGTCTCAGACGAGACACTGAACACTATAGAGATGAGTCGTGCTGCCAGACTGGATGGGAACCATGTCTTGCACAGGGAGCTGTCTCGCTCTGCTAGGGCCTCTTTGAGAGTAGACCAAGAGAGGTACGTTAGGGGCATCGTGGAAGAGTTGGAAGGTCATTTTGCCCAAAATGACCTTCGACCTGCTTTTCGATCAAAGTCCATCTCTCAATCGCGCTCGGTGAGGGCAGAGGAGAAGTCATGATCTGTGGTTTGCATGCAGTCCTGTCTGCCGTTTGGGATACTGGTACCATTCCCTCTGACAGGAAAAGAGGCTTGGTCATCCCTATCTGGAAAGGGGACCAAAAGGACTGTGGCAACTACAAAGGTATTACATTCCTCAGAGTACCAGGCAAGGTCCTCGCTCATCTGCTTTTGGTGCGAGTGCGCGACCACCTATTACGAGCACAGAGACCTGAGCAGTCTGGTTTTACACCCAAGAAGTCAACTATAGACCGTGTTTTGGCACTTCGTGTCCTTGTGGAACGCCGACCTAAGTTTCAACAAGGTATGCTTGTAGCTTATGTTGATCTCAAGAAGGCTTTCGACTCTGTGCACCGGGAGAGTCTCTGGAGCCTATTGGGTCTCC